GGTACAGCCTTTGTGGAGATCTGTCTGGAGATTTCTCAAAAAGTTGGGACTGGAAATCCCATTTATTCCAGCTATTCCACTTCTAGGCATATTCCCAGAAGAACTGAAAGCATCATACCACAGTGATATATGTGCACCTATGTTTATAGCAGCACAATTTGTAATCGCCAGATCTTGGAAACAACCCAAGTGTCCATCAACTGAGGAATGGATAAAAAAGTTGTGGTATTTCTATACAATGGAGTATTATTCAGCTATAAAGAAGGATCACATTGAGATATTTATCAATAAATGGGCGCAGCTTGAGACCATACTCATAAGTGAAATAAATCAATCTCGCATGTGTGAATACCGAATAGTTTCCCTAATGTAAGTAATGATTCAAATATATAAAAATATGTGGTAATCATGATTCCCCATTAGGTGGCCTTGAAGCCTTATAAAGTTTTCACTCATTAATTAGAAAGGCTTTATTCTGGGCTTCTTGATATGAAAATATTTGAAGCTAGAGTATATGAAGTTTTATCCAAATATTTCAAGGAAAAAGACACTATGGTAACTACTATTAAGTCAGGTTATATGGTGGTGAAGTACTAGGTTGTTGAAACAGTCATGCTGTGACCTCTATTGTTATATTGTTATGTCCTGTTTTATCTCAATCTCCCCCTTATTGTTTTAAAAAAATTATTTAGTCATTTCTTATGTTTGTCTTAATTAAAGAAAAAATTCAAAAAATTAGGATATATAAATAGTAACTCTTTTTGATTTCCTATTAACTTGTTTTGAAGTCCTGTAGTACTCCCACGATCTTGTTTTGACTGATTAGACTCTGTTCCATTCTACATGATAGTATCAAGTTTGAAGACATAGGCAACTACTTTGAAGACAGTAAGATTCACTAAGATACCCATTCTGTTTTGACTATTGTCTTCTTTGGAAGCCCTGTAATGTTTACAATGCCTAAGTTTTATTGGTCTTGTTCTCTACTGTTTTGTCCAACTTTATAATATCTAATGAGATAGACAATTCTTTTTAAGGAAACAAGGGACAACGTTGATAACCATTGTTGATAAACTTGTACTCTGTTCTACACCATGTGCTATGTCTATCCTTGGTATTGACTGACAGCTTTTTTTTGCCATATTTGACTGTATTCTTCCCCCCCCCAAAAAGTAATAAGCACTAAGGAGTAATAAAATCCAAAATGTGTAAATTTTGTTGTAAAAAAGAGAGGGGAAAAAAAAAAAGAAAAAGAAAAAGAGCTCTAACGGATATAACAGCAAGTGTGTTTAGGGGTGTTAAATAGCTGACTATATCAATGTTTTTGGATCATTGAACACAGCTGTTTACAGTCTCCCTGTTTGAATGTCCACCTTGTATTCTTTGATATTGTGATTTGAGGAACTATTTTCAAGATGATAATATGTAATCTACTAACAGGTGATTTCTTACTGGTATGTTTTTTTTTTGTTTTGGTTTTTGTTTTGTTTTGTTTTGTTTGTAGTTCTGTATTACGTGTACCCTTACACCGCTTTGGTTTGTTTTGTGTTTTTCTCTTTTTCCTCCTAAATAAAAAAAAAAAAAAAAAGAAGATGAACAACAACAAAAATTCTCTTGTTAAATGTAAAAAAAAAAAAGGATAAAAGCTAGAAGGAAAAAAGTGGAAAATAATTGTTAAAAATAGTACGGAAATTAATTAGGGAAATATAGTTGGCTATCTGCACACTATTCAGGGCCTATTTGGACTGGTTTAACTATTAATTTATGATCATGAATTTGCTCTATTGAAATTTTTCTTCAACACTACTTGCTACTTAGATGCAAATATAGAGAAAGAGGTTATCTAGCTTCATCCAGAGTTGGAAGTTTTTATTTGCAAAAGGTAAAAAACTAGCATACAGGTTAGGAATTAGGCTGGGCATGATAGTGCACTCTTGTAAACCCAGCACTTGGGAGGCTGAGGCAGGAGGATCACCATGAGTCTGAAGTCAGCTTGGGCTACATAGTGAGTTCAAAGCCGGTTTAAACTATATTCCAAGACACTATCTCAAAACACCAAAAAAGAAAAAAAAAAGAGAACTACTTAAAAGATGAATTACAACAAAGATAAAGATACAAATAATGCTTCAGACATTAGGATAATGCCAGAGCAATATTATACAACAAAAAAATGTAACTGACATTATTACTAAATATAGTCCTCTAGCAGTAAATGATTTCATTCTGATTTTTAATCATTCATACATATTTATAATCACATGTATATCATTTATCAGATTTAGTTTTTTGAAAATAGTGGTCCTATTTGTCCCTCTGCCTCTTTGAAGGTCTACCCCTGTAGCTATCATACTCTATATGACTGAATGGATGTATAAAGTCCCCTTCTTATAATTATCCATATAATTTTTAAAGATTCTAACTTAAGCATTATCACCTTAACATCTATTCAGAAAAAGACATTTATAAGAAAAGCACCTAAACACCTTTACCAATTCAGTGATGGAAATTTACTAAATAGGTAACAATACGACTAATGGAACCTTTCCAGTACTACACACCATTGAATTAGCACAAGGAAGAAAGTAAGTTAATACATGAAAAAAACTGAGAGTATATTTTCTCATTTTTAAAGGACAGATGAATCATTCTGAGGAGTGGGTTGATGCTGGAGATAGACCCTAGAGCCTTATGCATGCTAGACAAATACACCACCACTAAGCTAGATCTCCAGCCCTTTCTATTTTATTTTCAAATACAGTCTTGCTAAATTGCATAGTCTGGATTTAAACTTATGATCCTTCTTCCTCAACCTTTTAAGGAGTTAGAATTACAGGTGGGCATATGATGTAAAACCAAATAATGGATCTTCCTCATTTATCGAAAACCATTTCTTTTGGTTACAGATTCAATGTGAAAAACATTGTTTTTGTTTTTTATTTGCGATGTATATGTGGTGTTGGGGATGGAGCCCAGGGCCTTGCACAGAATAGGCACATACTCTAAGTACAGGCTATACTTTCATCTTAGGATTTTATTTTTACTTCTGCTTCAGTTAACACAATGCACATTTGCAAGTATATATCTCCCATATCCATTCGTTGAGCATTCCTTACTTAAAAGTCTAAAATCTGAATGCTCTAAGGCTTGAAACAGCTCTGGTTCTAAGCATTTCAATTAGGTATTTAATTTGCAGTTATCAACTTTGATCTAATGACACACATATACAAGATATAGGGAATCACAACTTTTCAAGTAAAAACTGCTAAAAATAGTCTTTAGTAAACACGTTGCTTAAAATTGACAACACACATTGTTGAGACTTACACATTCTTGAAAATTTGAAGCTTTATGTAACACCTAATAAGCAAGCATCTAAATCTCTAGTTCAAATACTTTGTGAGAAAAGGTATAAAGATTTCTCATCTAGATATCAAAACAATTCCCAATCTTCTGCTGTTTTAACCTATATTCAAATTAGAAGTCACAAAAGGACAAATGATTAGAAAGGGGGATTTCAGGAAATAAGTAAAAAGGAAGGAAAAAATTTTATAATGAAATATTTTTTAGTCCAGTTTGACATCCTCTAATATTCTTGTATTTCACTGAAAGTCCCAGGAAATATCCTGATTGTACTTTCTTTTTTTTTTTAATTTTTTTTTTTTTTTTTGTCTTTTTCATTTTTATCGGTACCAGGGATTGAACTCACGACCACCGCTTGCAAGGCAGGTGCTTATGCTGCTGAGCTAAATCCCCAGCCCCCCTGATTGTACTTTCAAGGAATGAACACAGTTTCTGAACACAGGTAATCTCTTTACCAGAGCCTCTGGGAAAGAAAAAAAAAAAAAAAAAAAAAAGAATGCCCAGTTCAGCTGCATTCCATTCTCAACTGCTGATTCCTAAATCAAGCAATTCAATGACAGCAATGTATTTGTTGGATAGTACATTTAAAATCATACATTTCACAAGGATGGGTTGAAAATATAAGAGAAAGACATAGTAACCCAGCGTTTTGGTTCTTGAGAGATCAGCCAAGAATGAAACAGAGGGGCTGGAGGTTTAGCTCAGCGGCATAAGTGCCTGCCTTGAAAGCGGGCAGTCGTGAGTTCGATCCCCGGTACCGATAAAAAGGAAAAAGACAAAAAAAAAAAAAAAGAATGAAACAGAATCCAAAATGTTAAAAAAAGTTCCTTCTCCTTCACCTTGTTCCCTTTACTTCAGCAAAAGTTAAAAATAAGTGTAGGATACATGAGGAAAGACCATGACTAGGTTCAAGACCACAGACTATAATCTAATATATGTACATTTCAAAGCAGTACCCAAATGTCATATAACCATTGACATTTTGTTTGTCCTGTATATATGTCCAAATCATTAATGCAAAATTTTATCTATTAAAATTATGAAAAGTGTTTGAATCTAAAAATTTTTTAAATTACAAATAACCAAATGGTCAATGACCAAAATTCTGGTTAATAAAGAATTCAATTTACTTATGACTTACACTGAAGTATTTTTAATAAAAATATACTTTTTCAGAAAATAAAAGTAAAACTTAACAGAGGCTACAACTATGGTAAAAGCTTGGTCTTTCCCTGATGATTCTGTCTAAATGAAAGTAACTGAAGATTCTGCCTAGTTTTAATATTTTACTGAATCATATGAACTGAATCTCAAGAAATGGTTCAAAAGCAGTTTCCCAGCTTAACAGTTTCTATTTCTTATCTCATACAGTATATCAATCTTATCCTATCTATAACCATTCTTCAGCAGTATTTTCTATGGCTAAAGAATAAAACAATTTTTATTGTGATTTGGCTTTAACATTTTCTTACAGTAAAAATTGATTCCAAATTGTTTGAAAAAGAGGTTACTCAAACACCACAAATATAAAATAGCCTTGATACCTTTGATAGACTCAATCCTGTATATATTACTCTCAGTTCATGAGTTATTTTGCTTTTAATGAAATAAAATTATCAGAAGTGTTAAAACTGCATTACCTTCATAACGTTAACTAAATCTGTTTGATAGTAGCGATCCTGATGTGCATTTGCTGCTGCTAGAGTAAGAAGATAATCATTCCTTGCATGAGTAGCTTTGGAATTACATTCAGATCGCCGGGCTTTTAACTATAACATAGTAAAAGAAAAAGTGATATCACATTGCAAAACACAGAAGACTATTCTTAGTTGACAATTAATAGCTCCCCACCAAGAGTAAATATAGAATTATGTGGAAAACATATTTATACACGTATAAAATTATCCATCACTTTTAAGGGATGAAACTGACTGGATACATGGGAAGAGCACTTTTAAATATTTGGAATTTATAATTGAGGGGTGTAAATAACTTATACTTTGGTAGATGTAAACGTACTTTCAAAGCTTTCTAGAAAACTTCAAAATGTTATGTTCATTTTAATCAGCTAGAAATTTTTTTTAAAATTAAGTATATTATCTTTGAAGATATGGGCAATCCTAAAAAAGTTAGAAAATAGATTTAAAAAACCAACACTCCTGACAAGCTTAGAAGAAGTGCCAGTTGGCAGGGAACCTGGCAATAAAACCAAGTCACTTAGCTCACTTATCTGATTTTCCATAGCTTGAAGGTTTGACAGGAAAATTCATTTGCATTGCTGAGGAGTCTAAATCTGAATGAAAATATTTGTAGGGCTTCCTAATGCCCCAGCACTATGTCTCTTTGACTAAGAATTGAAGATATAGGCTACCTGAACGTGTACCGTAGGGAAATCTATCATTAAAGCATCCAACATTTTAATACTTGGGTAAAAACAACCCAACAAATGGAGAAGGAAGGTTTCTACCAAAGTTAATTACTTTAAAATCTTCTCTAAGATAGAAATAATCCATCTATACCCTTGAAGGATCTAGTTCCTTAAACTAAGGGGTTTCTCAATTGAGTAATACACCTTTCAAAAACTCACCTTTACACTTGCCTTCTGTAGACTGATTCTTGACTGAAAAAGACTAAGTTTAGACCTACGGTAAAAATAAAAAATTTAATAAGGTTTATAAATAATACCATAATAAAATTACAAAATATTTTAATGACTTTTTCAAGACACTGTTCTAAAACAAACTGAAAATTGGAAAACCAAGAGCAATGCTTATTTGCATTTATTTTATTACAGGAAGAATTTTAAATTATGGCAAAGTAAATAATACTGGCATTCACATAATAAAAAAATTCCCCAACGATAAGGAAATATAATTTGACAAAAAATTAAAACATATTGGTACTTCCAAAAACCACAAGTCATCAAACTACAGTTTATTCCCAGTATCATAAAATTTCACATATTGCAGTTCTTATAAGGTTTACTCAAAACCCAGGCAAAACCAACCTAAGAGGCAAAGGTTAGTAGTTTTTCAGAGTTGCATATGACAGTTTGTAACAACATGCCAGGCACTTGGGAGGTTAAGGCAGGATTGCTATTAGGCCAGACTAAAGTCCATAGTAAGGCCTTGACTCAAAAAAAAAAAAAAAAAAAACCGAACCAAAACAAAACAACAAACACAAAAAAACCAAACCCAACCCAACCAACAAAAAACACAGCAGAACATCCAAACTCTAGGAAGTCCTTATTCCTGTTGTTCCTGCCACTAATAGTTCTTTCTGTCCAAATGCTTGCCTGTGGGCCCCCTGTACTCCTAAAGGTATTCTGAACCTACTGAAAAGTCTCTATTTCATCTTCTCCTGCTCTGGTATTATCTCCCTAATCCCTTTAATTAAACAACAAGTAGTAAAAAAAGTTTACTCAACAACTACAAATAACTATGTAGATAAAATCAACAAACACATACTAAGGAACAAGCAACACTTCCATGATTGGTGATTTTTCTGAAGCTGCAATGTTTGTCTTAACTGCAGAGTCATGGTGACAACCATGGGAGAATTCAATTCAATTCATTGTAGCTATGCCTTAATATGAAGCACAGTTGCAGACTACTTGGAATTGGAAGGTGAAGTAGCCAGTCTCTGCACAGCCAATGTGAAGAGGATAGCAAAACCAAACCCCTCAGTTTCTAACAGGAGAGAAAATTTTCTGGGGTGAACACACATGCATCCCAGCTGTTTTCCACTGTTAAAAAAATGGTTCTAAGATATTTCTGTAATTTCCTATCCTTATATTCATATTTCATGAGGTTTTCTGTTTATTATTCAGATTTCTATTCATTTTGATCTAGAAAAGCAAAGGCCAAACACTTTATAATTTGAGAGTGCCTATTCAGACAGAATGTGTTTGAGACATGACTAGTTTTCCTTTTAATAGTTATTATTCAAACAGTTTGAGTTCAAGCTAGAATGTCCAATACAAGGTTTTCAGTTTTTGGCTTCTGATTCACTTGCTAATCTCCATATATTTCTCTTGTGGTATAAAGGCAGATATTAGCGACAAAGGAAGAGAGTAACTGTCTTTAAAGACTAAACTCTAGATAAAACAAGATAGAACTTTTACAAGTCATGTATTATATGAATAACAAACTATATGTGTGCTACTTTTTACCATCTACACTTCAAATACTCATTGTCCCTGAATTTCCAGTTCAATATCACGTCTCATTATACATATGACTGCATGTCTGTATTAACAAACTGATGGGCAAATAACCCACAAAATGAGATCCTGGTCCTAAATTCTTATGTAAGATCAGATATTTACCTAGAAAACCAAGTCATGCTATTCTTTCCCAGGTTCTTGAGAACCTATACATCCCAAATAAAACTTACCATCTCTCTCAAACTATATTCCTCTTCTTCCTACAGTTTCTCCTATTGAGCCTTTTTTTCTGTTATTGTTTGTGTCTGGACGTTCCGCTGAAGCCTCATATAATTTTAGAAAGGGCTTTTTCAGAAGTAGCTGAATCTAGAGTTTGTGACTGATTCATAGTGTAATGCTGGGATTAAAGGTGCTGGGATTAAGGTTGGGAGACTGCTGGATCACTCCACTGATTGGATTGGCATCACCCTAATCCCAGCAGATTGAACAAGATAAAAGAGGCAGAAAGAGGCTTGTTTCCCCCTTTTTGATCTTGCTTGTTGTTTTTTCTGTCTTTTACTACCAGGAACTGTTGTTCCTTTGCCATGTGCCACCCTGCCTTGGAGCCAGCTGATTATGGACTGTAACCTCTACAAATTGTGAGCTAAAAAATCTTTCCCTCTTTAACTTTGGGTGTCAGGTATTTTGTCTCAGTAATGAGAAAAGTAACTAAGATACACTCCATCTATAGGACTATATGTAGTCCCATTTTCAGGTTACCTTCCAGATCTTTCTCTATTTAGAAAAATCAGTCATATTTGGAAACTATCCAAATTTTCATTAGGTAAAATTAATCTCTCCATTTTCTATGGTTTTGTAACTGTTTTCATATTACTATTATAAATAGTGATTAGCAGAACAATTTTACTGTGAATAAACACATAAGTCACTTTTAAACATTTCCTAATTCTGGGTTCCAAACTCCTTGAAGGCACAAAGTTCACCTTACTTATCTCTGTACTCACAGTACCCAATATAACTACTCAATAAACATTTACTGAAGGAGTAAGATATACAGGCATTTCTTACTCTGTCACTGAATTAATTTCCCAGAGATGTGAAACACTGAAATAAAATGTCTCACTATGAATTTGGTCCATATTAGAAAGCTGCTCTTTGTAATCAGTGTGGTGAATTAAATGCTGTCAAATTCATACATGAACAGCCTGCCACTGTCATTTTCACCCCATGGGCTATGGCTGAATAAGTATTTAAACATGCTCTATAAATCTCATAATTCTCTATTCTAAAATTCCTGCAAGTTTAAAAAGCAAGTTCCTAAACACTACAATGGCAGTATCTTACAGCACAGAGCTCCTAATCTAAAATTTTCAGATCTTATTTGCATCAATTACTCTGTGAAAGCACAGAAACTATCTGCTTAAAACATAAAACAAGAAAAAATAAAATTAAGAAAATGTCCAATAACATCAAGAATTTGATGAGTATTCATTTACCATCCCTTTATTCTAAATAAACTTTCCTGGAAACCTTAAAATGTCACAAAATATGCATGAAATTGATAATGCTTCCTGCAGATAAAAAACATGTTAGAAAGTCCCCCAAACACACATGTGTACTGTTTGCTCAAGTGCCCAAAGCACTCTGATTTCATGTCTAAGAGTTCAACCTTGATTTTTTGCATCAGGCAAAACAGTGAACAGAAGTCTCAGTTCTACTTATAGATCTCTTCAGAGTATAGCTCTGTAAAACAGGTTTCTTTTATTCTAAGTTTTCATCAGATTCAATCATGTTGTCACTAAAAAAAAAACCTTCATCACTTGCATGTATCTCTTATTACCAATTGCCAGTTCCTTATTATTCTCAAAATAAAGGACTGTAATTCCTATGCAATGAAATTGACACAATCTTGGAAGCACACAATAGTGTGTGTGTGTGTGTGTGTGTGTGTGTGTGTATATATATATGTATATATATAATATATACATATGTTATACATATATATTAGACATATACAAGTGATGGTACACACCTATTATCCCAGGCCAGGCTGAGGTAGGAGAATTGCAGGCTCGAGCCCAGTCTGGGCAATTAGCACTTAAAAAATAAAAAATAAATAAACAAAATGGCTTGAGACGTGGTTCAGTGCTAAGGCCATGGCTTCAATCCCTAATACTATACGTGAATACATGAACAAATGAATGAAAGCAATCGAGTTAGACTTTTAATATAAAGTGCTAGGGACAGGATTTCTATATGAAAATCAATACTCTAATTCACTTAATATGTCCATGGTCCTTCAGTGGAATTCTGAGGTCATAGGGATTTCCAACTATAATTAATTTGAGTCTAGAATGAGTAAAATTAGGCTCTTAAACCCTGATCATGAGACAACATACCAACTTTAGACTTTGGGTAAGCTTTTGAGTCTGTAATTACAGTGACTATCTTCTACAGTGATACACTGTTTTATGAATTTTACAATTATGAGGAACATGGCTGAATTTGTGCTTGTGTGGGGAAGGTGGCTATGGTCATATCTATGTGGAGTAACTAGAATGTTTGCAAACAGGAGCGTTTGTTAACCGAGGTATTACTATATTTCAAAATTCAACATATTGATCATATCTTAGCATTCTACTACATATATAGAAAAGGCCAATATAAAAGAAAATATCATCTAAGTATATAGCCTATGTAGGTCAAACATACAATCTAAGATACCAATACAACCTAAGAACAAGACTATGCCTTGTAGAAATAGAGAACAAAGCATAAGCAAAGATAACATTTGTATAATCATTTTCTCAGAAACACTAAAATACATACTTTGCCTCGATGTCAGCTTTCTCTCGTACTGCATGAGCCATCTGTTCAGTCTCAAAGTACTTTTTTTTGCCTTTAGCTAAATCTTTCACTGTCTCTTGTAGTTCAGTTTGGATCTTTGTTAACTGGTCCACACACTGTAAAATATAAGGTGCAATTATTATAATTTTAGTTTTCAAGCTTAAAGAAAATGACTTGTCCTAAAGACCATGCAAATGTGCCTTTAGGACAGAAACCCAGAAGACGAATCAGCACTTTTACTGTCCTTCGAATTGCAAAGTGAAATCTGAGTGAACAGCTAGTACTTTCATCTGAAGTACTGCATCAAACAGTGTCACACTTTGCCTCACAATCATTCTTTGAGAAATAACTACTGTTGATGATTGACATTAAAGTAAGGCACAAGAAGAACAACCCTGCAGACTTTTGCTATTGTAGATACCATGGCAATAAAGGCAAAAGAATAAATAATTCTGTATTGCATCATAATCTTTTTGTTTGTTTGTTTTTTTGAGACAGGGTCTCTCTGTGCAGTTCAGGCTGGCCTTGAGCTCACTTTTGTAGCCCAGGCTGGTCTCAAACTCGCAATGATCCTCCAGCCTCAGCCCGCCGAATGCTGGGATTACAGGCATGAGCCACCACTCCTGGCTGCATCATAATCTTAAAGTCTCTAGTACAATTACTAGGCTAAAAAGAGTAAGAAATAAGTCTCCTAATGTAAAGGAGTCATATATACTTTTCTGAAACCTTTTTAAACATTTCAGTGGTTTTAAAAGATTATATATAATTTCATATTAGAAAGTAATACATTCAGATTTCTGCTCTGCTATTTTCTACCTAAATCTCTTTAACGCTTTTTGGCCTCAATTTCATCATTCATAAAATAATAATACTTACATAGCTATCAGATGTGACAGGAAATCAAATGAGACTATAATGGTTGTAGTAGCAGTTTGTGAACTCTAAAATGTTAAATAAATGTAAGTCATAACCTCTACTTACCCCTGCCGCCTATGTGTATGTATATGTGTTGCTAAAAATCAAACTCAGGGCTTGGCACATGGTGAGCATGTCTTTTACTACTGAGCGGTGTATCTCTAGGCTATGATCACAATTACTTCAAGGGAAAAGCATAAATTCAAGTATAAATGAGAAAGATATTGACAAAAAAAGGGCTAAGTAAGTATAAGAATGACAAAATGCCTCAGATTATTGTGGCTCTTATTTTCAATTTATAAACAAATGTTAGCATGTAAAAGAAGATCTGGAAAAGGGTACAGTATAATTTTCAGTATAATCATACAACTTTAATTATAATATCAGTTCTTTCATAATTATGATATATCTATATCCATAAGTATTATGAAAAAAGTCAAAACTGAGAAAATTTTTAAAAATATATGAACTTTGCTGGCATGGTGGCATAGAACTGTAATCTCATACATAAGAGGCTATGACAGGAGGTCTGTGTTGAGTTCAAGGTCATCCTAAACTACACAGTGAGACACTGTCACAAATACATAAATGTATGAATGAATGAATGAATGAATGAATGGACATGAACTTTAAAATGTTATATATGCATCATTTTACACCAAAACTAGTTCTGAAAGATGTCAAAATAACTTCATCAAAATACCTTCCCATAGACCAAAGTGTAAAAGTTGGACACAGCCACACCAGACTTACAGAAGTATGAGACCTAAGACAAGGGAAGCACATCTAGGGGAGCACACAAAACTTGACATCTCCCCACCCAGAGCATTTGTTGAATTATGGCACAAACAAAGAAGATATAAACACAAAGTGGTATTTTACTCTACTACGTGGAATGAGAATTTGAGGTTCAGTGATACCACAAGAGCAGAAACTTACAAAACAATGGTCTAAAAAGAAGGGTACTACAAGTCCAAAATTTAGTATTCAAGTTCCTCTTGAGTTATTAGTTGACTCCTAATAGGCATGGATGGAGTGAAACTCCAAGAAATCTAGCAGGCATGGGAGCTGAAAGGGTAATGACTAAAGAGAGATTACAGGATCAGAACAAGCATGGCATGCAGAGAAAACAAAGGTTTGACTCAAATCTTGTCTAGGTAAAAAGGTCTTGGTAAGCACCCTCTGCATTCAGTTAAGACTGCAGAAGTAAGTATGATCAACTCTTAAAAAGCTAGATATTAATAAAATAAAGGTCTAGTATTCTCTCAGTCTGCCTAAGTTCATCCTTTTTAGAAACATATTACAGATACTGAACAATTTTTATCCACAATATCTAGCACTGTGAGGCACACTAAAGCAGACCTAAATAACAAAAAAAAAAAAAAAAAAAAAAACCAAGAAAAATGGCAGACAAAAAACAGGCCTACAATGATTCAGATAGTGATATTTATGGGACAGAGTAGAAATGATATGTTTAAGAGGAAGAAGGAAAACTATGGAGGACCACCAGATGACTCTCCTCAAATAAAAAGCAATTATCTCCATGTTGGCTAAACCTGAGCCTATCTCCATGTATTGCTATGATAGAACTAGATAGGCCATTTCTTTATTCCTTCAATTGGCTTTAAGCAGTGTAAGTATGGCTAGCTGAGGTGCTGATGTATAATCTTTGAAGTTAGGGATAGTCGCTGCTTCCACACTTCATGACTCCCAAAAAACATGAGTGAGCCAGGTGCACGGGAGAGCCAGGTGAGATAAAGAGCCACTCCTCTACAGCTGTCAACTGGGACTGAGCCATGAGATAAGAGGCTATAAACTTTCCAGGGCAGAAAAGTTTACATATGAGAACTTTTTTTTTTTTTTTTTTTTGTACCAGGGATCACACTCATGACCTCATGCTTGCCAGGCAGGCACTTTTGTCACTGAGATAAACCCCCAGCCCCAGGTCCCAAAACATTAGATGTTACCTTAATTGTGTTATACAGATTAGTCTTTCTGATATCCTTCTCTCTGCATAGTGCCTCCTACCTAGCCCAATTCACAGTACTCACATATTTCCCACTATTCTCACAGTCACTCATCTTTAAGCCACTCTGTTCTTCATGAATTAATAAAATCTAGATTGGGCTTGGGTCTGGGCCTTGGTTCTGGTGAACCAGCATCTTGATTGAACTTAGGGCCCCACTGGCCCCATAACTATAAATATGACCTACTGTCTTTATTCTTGCCATGGGTTGCACTGGAGGTGGTAGATTGGAATGAACTTATTGAAATTTCAGTAACTTTTCCATGGGATTACAAATATAAACTTCCTGGACCAAGACGAAATCTGGGAAAGGCTCTCCATACAAAACAATGGAGAATAATTGCATCCCAAACATGAAGCATATTTTTAAAAAGTTGGATAAAAACTCTAGAACTGAAAAATACATTAATATTCCAAAAGATGAATTTTTAAAATACATTACAAATAAAAGAACAAACTATCATTGGAAAATATTGAGATTTAAGAATTTAGAGAAAAAAGAATGAAAATATAAAAAAGTTACAAAAGGCATACAAACAGAGTCAAAAGATGTAATAATAATAAAAATAATAGGAAAGTAAACAGATTTTACTGTTAGGAGATTTTTATATTGTTAATGAGGCAGTAAAATGCTAATTTAAGACAGACTTTAAAATTAATGTGGAACAAGATTTGGGGAATAGGCTGCTCTTCTAAGTTTCTTCCTGAAAGAGTTAAAGTCATTGTATCTCAGTATACCCATGCATACCCATGTTTATAACAATATAATTTATAATAGTCTTGGAAATAGCCTAGATGCCCATCAACAGATGAATGCACAAAATGTGATATTTATATATAGAACAGTATTGTTCTGCCATAAGAAATGAAAAACCAGCTAAATGGATACAGAAGACCATAATCTTTTTTCTTTCTGTTGAGGGAAGACTCAAACTCATGGTGATTCTCTTGCCTAATCAGACACACGAGTTTAAATATTACACTGTGTGTCTTGCATGAGAAACCAGAAGTATAAACAAAGAACAAAACAGAGGATAGATAAAAGGAAGCAGGAAGAAACTTTTATAAATGGGAAGGGGAACAAGAAGAGAAGAGAGGAAGGGAAAGGAGGGAAAATGGATTTAAGGGACAGAAGAGTTAAAGCAATAAAAAGAAAATACAGCTTTTGCAAATGGGTAAAGGAAGAAGAGTTGGTTGGAGGGGAGAAGGAGGAGACAAAAAGAATTAAGATATGTTATGTACATATACAAATTCTCCATGATTAATGTGACCATTATGTACTGTAAGTATAATTACATAAAAAAGACCTGGGGCATAATAAAATAACTAATGTAGGGTAATGTAATAAACTAACATTGAAACTTGTAAGGTAATCAAAAAATATAGGATTATAAAATTAAGCTAATAGTGAAAGAAAAATTGACTGCTTAATATCATTAACCATCAGGAAAATCATAACCACAATAAAATACTTCACACCTAACAGGATGGATATTATTTTAGCCAGTTCCCAGTCCCCAAAGACAACAAATATTGACAAAGTTAATACAGAAACTAGAACTTCTATAAACTGCTGGTGGTAATGCAAAAATAGTTCCATTACTGAAAACAATTCTAATAGTTTTACTGAAACTTTTGGGGAAATGGGAAATATATAACTGCTATCTGTGAGATTCATAAATCTGACACTGTGGGGACCACAATGTAGAGAAAGTTGGTAATGAATAAAGCCACTAGTGAGAACAGAGACAGAAGGAAAGGAAAAACTGATTTAAAAACTAGCAATGAGCCTCTGATTTGCCCATGATTGAAATTCTGGAATTCAGTTCTACAAATTAACATTTTCTTCTTGGCTTAAGCCAGTCTAAAGTTAACTTTCTGTCATTTGCAATCTCAGAGTACTGACAAGTACGCTCAACACCTACTTAGTGTTCAATAATTGCCTAGATATAAAATAAACACTAGCATTATCAGCTATAAACACCAGTATTATTAGCTATAAAATAAAGCAAGTTAACCCACAGATAAGAAAATTGCTGAGCCTGAACAAACCTTTGCCAGGTATGTTGTTAAACTCAGGTCTAGGACTATTTCACCAATGGAAAAATATCAAACCCAGATAAATTTGTTTTTAAACAATGTTTTATTAGCATACCCTTGTAATATATAATAACTAATAATACTATATTTATTATGTATAATATTATATATAATACAATAATATATTATATAATAATTAATTCATTTTGGAAAACTTTATATCACATCTCAGTAATTTTTACTTCTGCTTTCCCCAGTCCCCTTCTCTCCCTCCCTCCTTCCTCAGATCTTAGGGAAAAGGGGGTAATTTTCCAGGAATTCAATTAGATTTGGTAAATGCACTGGCAATTGAAACAGTATTTTCTTCCTGCTAGGAAATTATACTAGTATTAATTCTCTACTCCTCTTTCTGCATATTGGACACAAACACACACATTTTTCTTCCAACTTGAAATCAGTGTTCACTGGTCACGGTTTATTCACCATTTTTACTTTGAAAGGAATAACAATGGTGATGATTAAGACATTAGCCTTTTTTTTTTTTTTTTTTTTTTTTGGTACTGAGGATTGAACTCATGACTCCACATTTGCAAGGCAGGCATTTATGCCACTGAGCTAAATCCCCAGCCTGACATAGACATTCTTATACAAATCTTTAAGCCAAACGATATTAGATAAATGCTATAGATATTAAAATTTTATATATACTCACACAATTAACATATTCATTTCATGCTATTTTAAACATTTAGCAAACAAGGAAGATTAGTTTTTAAATTTTTTTTCTGAAAATCAGAATCAAAATACTGAATGCATTGTGAAATATTACTTCAAGTGATATTTACTAAAGCATTAATATTTCTACTTTAAAAATTTTCATTATGATGTTCTCCATTTTTGTCATATAGAAAAGTGATTTCTAAATATTTACTGAGCTTTACCAGGTTCAAATTACACTCACTTTTATCAGCTAATAAAATACAGTAAAGGGAGCATGTTGAGAAATTCTAGTAAAATAACATCTAATAAACATTTATGATCATATTTTTAAAAACTCAAAGTTTTAAATTCAATTTAGCTAATCTTACACATTACAACTGTAGCACCAAAATAATAAAATACATGTAATAAGAGAATAGAAATAGAAACGATACCCTTTTTAGTTGCTGCTCTTTTAAGCTTCTCACTGTCCTTGCAGGCTCAGAAATGAAGTTCTTATAGTTTTCGCATATATTGATCCGAGACTGGGCAACCTGCATTGTTCCCTCGAGAAAAGATTTCCAAACAGGATACATACTCCTAAATTTTAAGAAGGATGGGAAACTATTAGGCAGGGAAAACAAAGATAGAGTTGTCTAACTTTCTGTCAGTGGCATAGCACTGACAGAATGAGTATTTTCTGTATAACCATAAATATACTGGCTTATAAGGCAACATTTCAGCACATACCACAGCATATACTCTATTCCATTATACCTCAGCAATAGGAAATTTTGATTCACTGGTGTTATAGTCAGGGATTGCAGGGAGAACAATTACATAAAGGACACAGAATTTATATTATTATTTTATGATGGTCATTCTGAGTTAAATACAAGAAAGTGCAGGAAATCTGTCCACAACACTAAACACCTAGAAAATCCAGCCAAGGGCCTAGATTCCACAGTAATGTCCTGCATGAGTCCAGCTAAGACCTACAGCCCATGACAATGCCCTCCAACTGGAGGCCTAGACTCATGCAAGTCTGCTTTATGTATCTGCACTGGAATGGCCCAAAGGTCAGTGGTGGAAGCTAAAAAGTCTATGCCAGCAGGGTGAAGAACCTGTGCCAGTAGGTTGAGGGTTCTACACTGGAGCCAAAAAGCAATGCTCAAAATAAAGACCAGGGTTTCCCTGAAAAAGTACCACAGCCATCCCCAGCAACAATGAGGTCTGGAACTTCTCTGACAATAAGAAGAGTTGAGTACATGTCAGGAAGGCCATGGGCCAATTTCTCCTGGATACTGAAGAGCAAACACCTTCCCCTCCAGAGCCAGGAAGTGATGCTCAACGTAGGAACCAGAGCTCCCCTAAAGTGAACCACAGCCACTCTCAGCAACAAGATCCTGAGCTCCTCCAATGATAATGGCCGAATACATATCAGGAAAGCTAGCCATGACAAGCTCCTCCAGGAGACCTAAACGGCTCCAAATAGCAACACTTAGGAGAACCCACAATGCCACTCTTCCTCTCCGCATCTCCCTATATGCTGCCAACTTTCTTCAGGGGAGCCATCTACACTCAGCACCATGCTGGTTTAATTCAGCTAGTGTTAAGTTGACCACCAGTTTTTAATCCATAACAACTGGCTATTCTTAATAGCATAAAGGAATACAAGGATTACGACTGGAGACAAAACTATCACTATAAAAACTGCAAAACATTAACTCTCACAGGACTACCATTATGAATATCAAATTTTATTCATTAAGGTATTTCCTTATTTTACAGGTGGAATAAGTGAGCACATCCTCTTTCAACTACATTGTCTTTTTTTTTTTTTTTTTTTTGTCTTTTTTGTTTTTTATGGGTACCAGAGATCGAACTCACGACCGCACACTTGCAAGGCAGGCGCTTATGCTGCTGAGCTAAATCCCCAGCCCCTTACATTGTCTCATTACATAAAATGATGTGGTAGAAAAAAATCTATCGTGAACAATAGCTTCTGTGCTTGAGAAATCTAACTTGTCTAACAACAACATCATCATCATCATCATCATCATCGTCATCATCATCATCATCATTCATGGTACTATCGCTCTGTATCTGTCTCTCTGTTCTAACATACTTAGCCAGCATTATACTATAGTTAGGAGTCATTCCAAGCAAAATGCATCACCACCTTGCATGATAAATGTGCTCAGCAACCTTTAGTAAAGTCCAAGAATTAGTCACCTTTTGTTTTTTCTAGCCAATTTCCTTTTCAAACCTTCTTTCCTAATTGCATTAGCCACTTCTAATATGCTCCTCTAGTAGTTACAAATATATTTCATAACTTACCATAGCAATGAATGCTACTTTATTTTAAAGAGGAGACAGTGAAATTTCGATGCACTGTAATATTGATTGCCTAAGATTTCCCTTCTGGTGTTTACATGGTGTTTCTAGATTAGCAATGTATGAGATCACATGTTACACAAAATGCTAGCTGTGGGTCAACAGATGACAGGGTGAAAGGAAGAAAAGAAAAATGCCTTAAAACTTGAAAAAAATATGCTTTTCAACCAAGGAGTCTTACAAACCAGTCCCTATGATAGAGAAAATTTACCAGTTTAGATGTAAATATTCATTTATTTTGGCAGAGATACATACTGTCTGTTTGAAAAAATTCAATGTGTTACAGGAGCAAAAGAATTGCAATACACCTGCAGCTGAGATACCCTATGAGTAGGGAACAAAGACAAAAGAAAGACAAATAGACAGATGAAGAGAGGCAGGTAATGTGAAACCAAGTTTCTTCACAGCTTTGAGTATCATGAAAAGAAATTAAATTTTATCCTAATGGCAAGGAGAAACAAGAGAAAACTCAAGGAGGAGAGTGGCAATAAACCTATTTCACAAAGACATAAAGGTATCTATGATAAAAGATGAATAGTGTATTACATTATAACAAATGGAATTGTGATAAACAGCAATAACAAGCAGAGGACTTGAGACTTATTTCAGATAGAAGGTGAAATCTAGAAAGCCAAAGATAAAGACAGCTGATTTTTTTCCAAATTGAAAGGTAATAAAAATAAGATTACTGCTAGTTTATAGACAACAGAAAAGCCAAGAATATAGATAAGGTCACAATGAAGAGTTACTAGAGAGCTGAGAGAACTTTGAGAAACATTTAGAAAGATTAAGAAACAAACAAGCCCAAGAGAAACTAGTATTGCAGAAGTTTCCAGACAAATGGGAGTGATTTCATGACATTAAATGATGCATGTATCATGAAATAAATCCTTTAAAAGATTGATCACATTCACCGTTGATAGAAGAAAGACATTCAGATTACTTCAGAAGAAATGTAAAGTATACTAATTAAAGCTTACTAAGGACAAGTTCCAATATCAATATTTTCAATGTATAGACCCTTTACCCTGCATTCCACCCACTAAGAATTTACCCTACAGATGTAATGTACCTCCAAAGCATATAAAATACACCTCAATGTATGCAGGAATTATTTATCACAGCATTATTTGTAATAACAATGAACTAAATACCAATAAGGACAATGACAATAAATCTATAGTTCATCTATACTATGGCTCTAAAACAGTCATTAAAAAGATATATGCCATGAAAGGTTGTCTGTAATAGACTCCATTGGCATAAGGGGTAGTTTACAGAAACATGCATACAGTAATTCTAGTTCTGCTCAAAAAAAAAAAAAGCAAAACTGCATATGTTTACGAATGAATCACACAAGAAAAGATGTCAAAGAAAAGAACACCTGGTTTTCACAGCAATCACTCAAAGAGTAGAAAAGCAATGAAACAGAAAAGAGGAAAGAGGGAAAGAGAATGAGACTGGATTGTATACTCTTCATGCTCTTTTATAATATTTACCTACTTAAGGAAAAGCATGTTACTTAAACTATCAATAAAAATATAAATTGAAAAACTTAAACAAAATTTAACATATTAAAAAGAAATTGAATAAACAACAACAAAGGAATTGACATTCTCATTTTCAGTTTTTATTGTTATTGTTGTTGTTGTTCTGTTTTTTGAGACAGGGTCTGGCTATGCAGTTCAGACTGACCTTGAACTATGTAACAGAGAATGGCCTTGAACTCATGGTAATCTCTGCCTTAGCCATCTGCATGCTGGGATTATAGGTGTGCACACACACCCAGCTCCTCATCCTTAATTCTGACCTTTCTATTGTCTTCTTCCAGAATGTTGCCACCATTCTCTAAGGTGGCTAAATTTAAAAAACACCTGGGAGGCATTATATAATTCTTCCTCCTCTCCCCCTACTTCACTCACTCAGTTAGTGAATATCAAGTGTTTTCTATGTGCCAAGAGCTATTTTAGACACAAAGAAAACTATTTGCCAGTTTATCTTAGTACAAATTCAACAAACTAAAAAGAAAAAAAAATCCTGCCAAATTAGTCTGAAGTCCTCTAGTTTCAGTTTCCTAAATAGCTCTTATATCGCCCCTTAATCTTATTTTCTTGATAATTTCCATGGTTAAAATAAGAGATGATAAGAGACTAAATTCCTAAAATTTTATCCTTCCTGCATTCTTCACAACACACTCTAATCCACCTTTACGCTATGGTTAGGGAAGCTGATCTTATTATTCATCTTGAAAATCTTCAATAATGGATTAATCCAATATCTTCCATATATAAATATTAACTATAATATAACATGTGAAGTATTTTATGATGCTTGTGTATGTATTCTTCACATTCACCACTCTATTACCCTCCAACCTACATATTTCATACTTCAGTCATAGTAAGTGTTCACCATTACTTAATAAATATTCATATTTTTTCATGCTCCATGCCTTTAAGATGTTATCTCTGCTTAAAATGCCTTTTCCCAAGCTATCTGCCTGGCAAACTCTTGGACATTAAGAAAGACTGTAGAAAGATCCACAAACCTAGATTTTCTGCTGTGGTCTGGATACACCTCTACTGCTACTGACACTGAAATCAATTATAATGGCAATGTCCTATAAACTCTTGAAAGGCAGACAGTTATGTCTGAGGGTATCTATTCCCTAACATCTACTTTAATAGGTTGCATGCACTAGGTATCTCAACAGTAAATTATGAATTAAGAAAGAATGAGTGAGTGTTTAAATAGTCTGCGTGAACTTCAGTAAGGGATATAACCCAAGACTTAGCATCCTAATCCTATCATCTTACAGGGTTTAATAATCATGGGATATGAGTGAAAGTTCCTAGCACAGTATAAGCTAGCCTAGAAGCACATTCTTTATTCCTATTTCTTTGGTAGCTTGAATTGTGAACTTGTAACAAATGTGGAATATAGCTTACCCATAAACTAGAGTCCTTTATTCACTAAGAAGCAATCTCTTTCTCAGATCAGCAATAATAAGCATGCTCTCTCTTACCTCAAGTTTGTGTTCTACATTCCTCTGGTCTAAAATTTCATCTCCTCTCTTTCCCCTTTAGGTGAAATTTGTAGATACGAGATAATCTCTATTTTTATTTTCTGTTCTACTTTTATATTCTAAATTGACATTATACCACTGTATTACTTATAGATATCGTGTCACCTTCCAAGTATAGTCTGCCACTGTGGGGAACTATTAGTTTTCTAGCAGCATTGTCAGAGTCTTAAATTCTCTGATGATGTCAGTTTTTTCTGATAATCTAGCAGCTTGATTTCATAGTCAGACTCCAAATGACAGACTTCAATATTGTGTTCTCAATTACCCTGCACTCTCCATTATTGTTTTATAGGTATTAGACTTAATTACAACTAGACTGCAAACTTCTGAGTCCCCTAATATGGAGGACAGCTTTCAGCACAAAAGATAATAAATACTTCCAAACCCCAAAAAAGACATTCAATTTTAAAAATTACAAATACTTTTAAGATATTAATAGGTTGCTCAGGATACAACATATTTTGCTGTCATCCACCTTCTTTAAAACTCGTATATGAGATACACAAGTAGTTAACTTCTGGACACCCTGTTAACATACATATACATGTTTCTAAAATAAGTATGCTACTATAAAGGAAGCTCTTTTCATTAAGATCTATTACTTAGAAACTTTTCCCCAGTCTCACAAACCTCATCTTTCCAAATTTAGAATTTATTTCAGAAGTAAAGAATCACTGATCATGACAGTGCACTATAATCTTGTTTCTCTCACGCCACTGTTGCAATAATGTATTTTATCACTGGTCACTGAAAAAAATGTTCCACTGACATCTACCATCTTTAAATTTTATATGTAAGTATTAACAAATGATATACAACCTTGGCTTAAGATATATGTTATGGAACAAAAAATTGTTCATAATTTTGGTATTTTTTTATGTAGAGAAAAAACAAAACAGAAAAAAGGGTAGAAATAATACAGAATTTCAAAAAAACAGTAAGAAATCACTAGTTGATAAATTACATATTGTTATCTTGGAAGTAGTTGCTCAAGTCACAAAATCAAAGCATAAAAAGTAGACAATCAAACAATGACAGTACAAACCATTCTGTTTGAAGAACTAGCAAAAACTTAGTATTATGGTTATCTATTATGTTTAAAAACACACAGCAGAGGAAAGAAATAATTCTTTTAAAAATTAGAGTGCTATATTCTCTCTGTGAGACAGCTCTTAATGGAGCCCTTTTAAAAGAAAATAGGCAAAATAACCACTTGGTAAGTTACCTGTAATCATTCCGATCATCAGCTTTTATTCCAGGCCAATCTCTCTTCAGGTATTGGCTAGCCAACTTCTGGATACCCTGTTAAAAAATATATTTTTTTTTCTAAAATAAGTATCATGCCACCAAGGAAGCTATTTCTCTTAAAATAAGTTACTTAGAAAATCCCAATTTTTCAACTGTAAATTTAACTCAGAAGTAAAGAACCAATGACAAATGGCAGAACGCTATTTCTCACAATTGTCCAGTTTTCTTTTAAACTTAGGTAATATGCACTTCACCTCACCAAACTGTGTGATTATCCAACAGAACATCCTTCTGGTATGCTACAGTGAACACAGCTGTCTGTGTCCACAGAACTCTGACTCCACAGCCTTACATGTCAGAGCCCCACTGCACCTCAGCTTAGCAACTAAACTCTGATATGACTAGGAGAGGAAAAGATACATTCCATTTGGAGCAAACACATACATGCTGGCTTATAAAATTAATGAATAAACTTTGGTGCTATTCTGTTACAGTAATCTTCAAAAGACAGATTTTAAGAGACTTTTAAAAAATATGTCACAGGTTACTTCAATTAGTGTTACCAACAAATACAGCCACCCATTTGCTATCATCCATACAATGTAAAACTGAGGGAAAAACCTGAGTATCTATGATATACAGAGAAACAATGATTTGAAGAACATTTCAACTATATACCATACTTCTTTTAGATATAGACAAACATGACACTCTAGCACTTATAATATGAAAGAGTTTTGGGGGCAATAAAAGAGAGACTATATAAAGTAAAAATAGCCCTTATTCCATTGACGTGGAGAGAACTCCATGACCGCCAGTCGCCTGGCTTTCTCTGCCAGAACGTGGGGTATGGGATATACATATAACCTCTGACTGGAGGATGGCGCTTAGGGTGGGCATTGATTGGGATTTTCTGTGCACGCAAACGGGAAGGGGAGCTGCAATTAAGGCTAAGGAAGAAGCAGGAAGTGGTAGGCATTCCTGCTTTGGCCTTCCGCCACGTTAGACCACCACAATTTCGAACCTTTCATTCCCGTCTTTTTATTGTTGGGAAAAGGGCAAAGTCTCTTTCTAACTATTTTCTGCTAAAAGAGGACACTGTATTGGGGTTTAGAAAGTTGATGGGATGATGGTTGATGCCCATGTAGAAGCTGGTACCAGGTGTTTCAGCCAGGACAACTTTATCACTGGTGAATGCCCACATCTTAGCTGGACAAAGAGACACGGTGCTATGAGGAGGCAGAACACTATCATATTTAAGGACCAAAGAGAGACAGAAGAAAAGGTATCTTTGATTTAAATATGTCGTTCCATCAGGACCACAGTGAGGTAGAATTCTGAAAAGTAAGTGTGGGGTTAGGAGGAGTGAAGTTATGAGAAGTGATTATTTTTTTATCTAAAAGGGTAACAGTTAAAAGTGTAGATAGGTAGGGCTTGTCTCTGGTCCAGGAGTTAAGCTGGAAAGAATAACAGGGGTGGGAGGGCCATAGCTGTGTCACTATAAGGAAGATAAGAGCCTAGGCCCAGAGAGATCTCACATTTGACTTAACAGATGAGGGTAGAGAGAATTAAGACAGTTGTCATGTAGAACAACATGAAGACAATTTTACACATGATGTGGAGTCTTTAGGAAAAACCATCAAGAGTCCTGCTGTAAAGAGTGTCTTGGGATCTGACCCAGTGGAAGGTATCTGTCTCCTCTACAGTCATAAGACATCTGGTTTTTATCTTGGGTAGGTATACAGCTTTAAGTCTAAAGGAGACAAAGGCAAAGAATCAACTAAGTATACAGGAGTCAAATCAACAGAGTATTTATAATTATAATGTTAGTAAGACCTTCCTGTAAGGAGGATAAGGATAATGTCCAGGGAATTTTAGAAACTGACATGTCATTTATTTGTCATACACACATTTAGGTTTTATAATTGTTTAAGTATCTCTTATGCTGTTAGAATGTCTAATGCCATCTGATTTTTGGAGGATGACCTGTTTTATTAATTTTATCTTTTTATTTAGGAGAGAGATCAGCTGCAGTGTCATTTAACGTCAGTTGAGTATAGTCAATTATGGCCCCAATATGCATCATATAACCTTTTTCTAGAAAAGATCTGATGGATCCCAGCAAAAGGAATCCAAAAGGAATTTATAATTATCTCTTAGTTTTAGTTGTTGAACATGTAGAAGATTGATAACAGTATAGTGCAGTAGAGGCAGTAAGCTTAACATAATAGAGTTCAATGTAAAAAATGCGGGAATAATTAACTTTGGGAAACTCGTTTCTACACATGAAGCTATAAAAATAATATCATGCGGAAATGAAAATCAATCACAATAATTAGTGGGCCCTATAAGCAAAGACCACCACAAAATCAGTGCTTCACTCTGTACATCTTCCTTTTTCCTCCTTGTTTTCCCCCTTTTTGAACATATTTATTTGTATTTGTGTGTGCCATTCTGGGGACTGAACTCAGGGCCTTTAGCACTGAGCTGTATCCTCAGACCTTTTTATTAAAATAATGATTATTATTTCATTTTGAGACAGAGTCTTGTAAGTTTTCCAGGCTGGGCTCAAACCTGCAATCCTCCTGGCTCAGACTCCCAGGATTACAGATGTTTACTACTCCATCTGGAAAACATGGCATCTTTCTAATGAGACGTGCTGCCAAATCAATTTGGCTTAATTAAAATCACTGTTGAAAGCCTCTGATGAAATGATATTATTTCAGTTCAAAGCACAGCAGGGACTGAAATGCTTTGAATGTCACATTCCTCCTAAACTTGGTAATGGTTTTGTTTCACTATTTCCAGGTATTATGTATTTTTCACATACATGTACTTTAGAGAACTCAATTACCAAGTCTTTTTTGAATATGGGCAGTATTCTGTCACTTCCGTACCATGTTGATACTGTTCCCATCTTAGGAAATACCTTCCTACCACTCCAATCTCTACTTGCTGAATGTGTTTGTTTGTTTTGAGACAGTCTCACTATGTAATTCAAATTGGCCTTGAATTTGTGGCAATCCTCCTCCTAAGGGTTAGGATTACAGGTATGCACCCATCATGCCTGGCTTTGTTGAATTTTTCTCTTCTCCCTTTAAAATGATTTTTGTATTTCTTGACAAAAATGTGAAAGTTTCATTACATAAGTATTTAATTTAATTTAATTTCCATAGAATAATTTATTCTTTTAACTATTGGTTTACCCAATGTACTGTTCTATAGGATTGTTCAGTTTTGGCCCACAAACAATGAATTTTTCGAGTAACATTGTAAACTCCTGTAAATAATAGATATATTCTAATTAATTGCAGACAACACTCTTGTGATGTTGGAATTGTCACACATGTGATTTGTAGTAGTCTCTCCCCTATCGTGAGCCAAACAGACTTTGATCACTTCTTTGTTTTCTTTTACAGTTTCTGACCCAGACCTGCAATAAAGCTACTTCTCTATCAATTCCTGATTCCTTTCAGATAGAAACCATATTCAGAGTACACAAATGTAGGCTTATCCTTATCCTTCTAGTTTTGTCTTTTTCTCTAAAAGGCCTTTTCTTTTCTTTTTTTCTTTTTGTTTTTTTGCGGTACCGGGTATTGAACTCTCAACCTCACGCTTGCCAGGCAGGCACTTATGCTGCAGAGCTAAATCCCCGGCTAAAAGGCCTTTTCTAATCACTTACCAGTGACTCTCACACAACCAATTCACAATCATAATATTGTTCTTGTCTGATTTAAATGTTTTGTCTGTTTATTAACTCTAAGCTCTTATCAAATAGAGATCCTGTCTCTCTCATATATTTATTTCTGTGTTTATTTCTAGCCCCAGAGAGTAAGCACAGGGTTTTTGCACTGAGCTATATTCCAGTCTTTTTTGAATTCCTTATTTTGAGATAGGGTCTTGCTAAATCACTAAGTTGCCAGAGTATTAGGATTACACACATGTATTACCATGGCTGGTTTATTTATTTTTAAATCACTACGTTCTATAGAAAAGGGGCCAGCATTTAGTTGTTGACGATAATATCCACTGACTGCATGAATAAATGCTACCTATATTACTCTGTTTCTAATGTATAATATTAATCTCCTTTTAAGTTTTTGCCAGTCTGAGTGAAAAATATTTGAATCAAAAATTTTCTGGTTCCTAATTTTTATATACTAAAAAACAAGGTAACTATATCAGATTTCTGAAATTATGACTAGAACCTCTAATATAATAAAGTAGTTCCTCAAAAAAATTACAGTTAAATTTGATCATCATCAATAATGAGCGAGGACTTCCGGGAGAACATGGCGGACAAATAACAGCAGCCACAGAGGCTCTCTGAGATTACCAGTTTAGAATCCAGGAATGGTGCTGTGTGAGGAGTCCTACACAAGGGGAGATATACCTTGCCGACCCAGGAACGAACTAAGCTGAGAGAAACTAACTGGAAATGCAGTCCTGATGCTATAACAGGAACAGATAAAATATCACTGTGGAAGCTGGATCCTGAGCCATTGGAAGTCGCAATTTGAATTTCCTGCTGCCGAAACTGCGTTCCAATCCGCGCAAAAGCTCTGAGAGCTGGAATCCGCAAACCAAACGGCGTTGAGAGGGGGACTGGCCTGTATCAACTTGTGGTGAGAGAAATGGGGACCCTTTCATAGACTAGGAGGCTCCAACAGAGGACATTCTGGGAACAAGCAGACTAGCCGGAAAAGGTCCCTGCAGTGACTTTAGTCGCATATTCCCCTCTCAAGCGGGAGTGGTGGGGGGCACTTGGCAGGGTGATGCTGCGGACTAAGATCCAGTAGGCTAGCCCAAATCAGGTCCCTGCGCCTGGCGGTACACCTAGCACTGAAGCATTCAGTAGGTTGACCTGGAGGGGCGGGCCCAGCAGAGGCTGCCCAGGTCTATGTCTCCCTAATACACTTCAGTGGGCAGGAACACCTAGCCAGCGGATTCAAACAAACTGTAACAGACAAAGAGAAAAAAAAAAAAAAACTGGGCCTCCTACATATGCTTGTATGGAAGAACAAAAAGTATGGGAAGAGGGAGCAACAAGAAAG